TGTGCAAGCTGGTGTGTTATTCTCTGCACACAAATCATTAGGCTCAAGAGAGCACCAAGAGATGAGCCTGAGGCTGCAGCCTAATGGTTGGATCACTTGCCTGCACCAGGGGAGGGAGTTTTGTGTCCTGGCCAAGCCTCCCAGGCTGTTCCTGCATCTCATCCGATGACTGTTTCATATACAGTACAGGAAGCTCCACCCTCACATGTGCAAAAAGAATCACATAAAACAGGGGGAGAAAAACCCACATACGAGTTTGGAATAGAAAGCAGCAATAATAACATTCAGAGGATGGCACAACCTTTTCATCCTTTGAAAGTCCAACTGATATGCAGTACAGATCACAGTTGAGACATCTGCTGAGAATTAACTCATTATTACAACACTACCATACAAGGCACTTTTTCTTGTGATGTCTCAGCTCATTCTTACACTGAAGTCTCTTCAACAGAAAATCACTCTTTGTTATTCTTTCCAGTATATTACTCGGGAGGACCTAACATTTCTTAAGTGCTACTGCCATCATCTTATGCGAGTCTTTCAGCATCTATTATGGCTTCAACATTGTTTTTAAAATACCAGTTTTATGTAACACCTTATTAACATTAATAAGCAAAGGTGCATTGTATCTCCAGAGTGTTGCATCTCTTATCAGGGTTATCTTTGGCACATCTGATTCATAGGGGAACCTGCAATGAAATGTTATGGCAATATTGCTGGACACTGCCAAACTGCTGCCATACATCTTTAGAACAGAGTGGACTGAAGTCTGAATCACCTTTCTTGGATCAACTATCATTTTCCTAGGGTTGAATCTATCTTTCCTGTTGGCTTCTCTGTGGATATGCTGCAGGATGTTCACTCCGGGCACAGCAGCCCACGACGAAGTGTCGATCTTGTCTGTGGAGGTGGCAGTGAACACGGTGTTGGGGAAGACGTGATTCTCAAAGAGGAAAACACCAGTGTCTGGATTCTGCTCCTGAAGGCTCCTCATCATGGTTTTCCAATCCGGGTGCTTTGCGGGCAGAATAATTTCATCGATATCATTGAGCAGCACAAACCTGCTCCGGTACATGTTGCGATACACACAGTCATTGAGAGCGGTGATTTGTCCGTAGTAACCAATGTGTGTCCCATCCTTCGGGAAACGCCAGTGAGGAGACACCTTGAGGTGGGAGGTGATTGGCCAGGGAACGACCTCGACGGTTCCTTCTGCAATATAAAAGGCCAGGATGCTCTCCATCAGGGGGCTGCAGCTGTTCTTGTAGATCATCACTCTCTGGGCCCCAAGAATTTTGTACATCTCCATACTCTGGATAAATTGTAAGACGTTGTTGTAGTTTCCAAACATGGTTGAGATGCACACGGTGAAGTCAGCAGAAAAGGACTCAGCCTTGCGGTTCTTTATTTCAAATCTGGGCAGCTGCTCAATATTTCCATTAGGGAATGAGTGAATTGACACGTAGCTCGGATCACAGGTGCGGGGTTCTGCACAGAGCAGGTCCGCTGCACCGTAAGGGAAGTCAAATCGATCCGAATGGACATCAATGTCTGCCCTAGATACGTGTGTTTCCCCATCAGGCTGGCAGCAGAACGAGCAGTAAAGTGCCGTCACCTCCTCGTGGTGAACAATCGCAATCACTCGGGTGATTTTGCTCTCTCTGTTATCAAAGTACGGGGCTATGATAAAGGTTCTGTTATCCTCCAAGGCTGTGATCGTGTTAGAGACAGGTTTCCCTCCACAAAGCTCGAGCATCTGATCAGTGGGTGCTGGTTCAGAGGAGGCTATTCCTGGTGTATCGTTCTGGAACATAGATCTTTTCCAGTAGCAGGTCAAAAGGATCAAAAACATGAAGACAGATGGCACAGCAACGTAACAAGATTTTTTTCCGCAGTACAACATGTTTGAATGGCATAAATTCAGTCTTACTGTGTTCCTTCCTGGTCAGTATTCCTGGCTAGAAAGGAAAAAGTTCTGAATAGAATAGGTTAATAACTTACCACAAACTGCACATTTTCTGTTAAACTGTTTTCTGTTAATTATTATGTTTATAAATATACTTCCAAAGGGTAGTATAGATCCTAACTCAATTAAAGTAACTTTTTGCATAGCTCCAGCAAAGCTATACATAGGTAAATCCTGCTACCTTACTTACCTTGAGTAATAGTGTGTTTTACCTTGCAATTGGCCCCAGGGCAATCGCTAGTTTCTCTGGCCCTCCAGGAATGGTAGCCGAATCTGACCTGAAAGACCTGAGTGTTTGGAAGCTTCACGACTGGGAAAACCCCAGACAGTCTCACTTCTACTACGGTTGAGGAAATTGCTAAAATATTGATCTATTCCTCTGAAAAATTACATTCCGGATGAAACCCATTGCTTGCCCTGTCCTCACCCACAACAGTAACGCAGGCACAACCGTCATTTGTCTTCTCTAGCTTTTGTCTGTATTTCAGACAAATCACTGCCTTTCTCTGCTTTCCCAGAGGGGCGACAACGCAGTCCGTATATTCCATCAGCACCTTTAGCCCTGGGAAGTGTAATCATGCAACATCTAAGGTACAAAGATGGGGAATTATCTCAGAGGTGCTGGGCACCCTAGACCCTCCAGGTGTCTGAGGAGGGTGTTTGACAATCAGCCCCAGGCAGGAAAAGAATGACTCCCCAACCCCTTTCTTCCCCCTTTTTGTGGGGCAGGGGCAGGAAGAATGCTTTCCCCATCTCCATGTCTCCCTTGAGCTGAGGACTCCCAGACTCTGACGGGAAACCCATGTTCACCTGTTAGGTGCTCTGCATCCCAAGCAAACTGATCCCCTCATTACAAACACATTTAGCATGAGTTAGTTCATTTGCAGTCGTTCAAAATTATTAATTGGCCAAGGGTTTGTACTTCGCCACCCTCACCCACTCAGAGTAATTTTTCAAGCTGTGGGGTAGTCTGTGGCACAATTCCCAAAGCAGAAATTATGAAGCAAGTGGAACAAGGTCCTAATTAATAATGCAGTGCATTTGCTAGCAAACAGACTGGCATGTTAGTTTTTGACAAGCTTTTGTTCAAAAGTACTCCAGGCACTAGTTTTTAGTAAAGTGGGACTTTATAAAGGAAGACTGATTAATGTTGTACAACCATTGTATTTCTGATTTCATTGCTTTCTCAGAAATAAGTTGCTTAAAAATAGCAAGTCATCCCTCTAATTAGCTTGATGTGGGTGGTTTCTCTTAACTTCCACAGCAAACGCAGACTAAACATAATCCTTTTCAAAAGGCAGGACTTTTTTCCACCAAGTGACTAGGGGGAGATGAACGAATTGTACCACAACAACGGTTAGTGACACAATACCTTTTAAAAAAAGATGGCCTGAGCTTCTGTTCCTTTCGTAAGTTTGAGCTGATTTCCACAGTGACAACTACAGCCTGAAAAGCCAGCTCTGCATCCGGCTCTGCTACAGCAGACTCCTGCCTGTTGTGTGGATTTCAGCAGGGGCCCACGTTGACTGAAGGACTCACCAGAGTGTCAGCTATGCCCAAGAGGAAGATACCAGCCCAGATCAAACAGCAAAGATCCTGAATGTGCAACTGCAGTTTAATAATCAAACAAAAGATGCCAGAGGCCAAGCAAGATGAAAAACCATAGCCAATTTATTCCATGAGCTTGGATGGTGGTATGAAGTACACAGAATTGTAGTACGGTAATTAAGTGGCCTTTCGTAACTGTATGCTGGTACCTGGCTCTTCTACCCCCTTCACTTCTATTCAGTCAAATATTAGCTACTACCCCCTGGTGACTCGCGCACACACAGTTCTAGGGCCACAACCCTGACCTCAGAGTCCAGAGTCTGAGAAGCACAATGAAAGTATCTGCTCCTGGTGCAATGTCCAGACTGAAGAGCGGTAATGATCAGAGCCAAATTCTTCCTCGTCTCTGGTCTAAAAATGTTAAGTGTTGCATTACTGAAAACAACTGCATTCCTATTTACCTCTCAAATCCACGTGCTCTCTTACCATCTCTGCTCATCATCAGGCGATCAGACACCCTGCCCTTTCCCAGGCACCTGAGGATACGAATTTTAAACCTTGGAAAATCTGCTGTGCTTGTCCAAATGCTTATGCAACTTCATGGTTAGAAAATTAGTAAAGCAGCAAAGAGCAAAATAAACTAAGACATCCCAGTTTGTGGTCATAACTTATAACTTCAAACTGCACTGCATCATTACCTCCCTTTCATCACATCAGGGGGAGGCAATTATTCTGGGCGGAGGGTTGCTTACTGAGTTTTGGCAAGCTACCAAGGGCCGCATGACAGGCAGCCAGGGGCAGATAAATATTAATTTTCTAAATTTTTTAGGGGCCCCGCGGGCCGGGTAGAATCGCTTGGCGGGCCGCATTTTGCCTACCCCTGCATTACACGGTACAGTTAAAACATGCCATGTTCGTTACCATCTGACTGCTATCAAAACAGGATTTTTTCAGAACGTTCTTGTGTAGAGCAGCTGAGAAAAAATTAGACCAGTTGAAAGTAGTGGTCCCAAGACAGCTCTTACTACTCCTTGTGATATATCAGCATCCAAGGTATTTATATACTCATTTTAATTCTTTCTTTATTGGGCTGGAGAACATTTCAAATGATTAATATGTACTAACTAGTTATTAATATTGATACATGTTTAATTAGAGAGCTAAACATTTTCTCACAAAAATGTTGACACAAATGTAGGGCTGCAAGCTTTGTGTGTCATGTTTTCAGGGGAAAAACACAGGGGAAAAAAAGCATCTAGAAAACAGTTTATACCAAAATAGAGCATAAATAATTGTCCCAAGTCTTACCCATTCATAGATTCATAGATTAAGGGTCGGAAGGGACCTAGTAGATCTTCTAGCCCGACCCCCCGCCAGGGCGGGAGAACAACAAAAAACCCCAGAAAGAGAAATGGGACTCAAACGAGTCCAGCCAGGTAGGCATCCAGCCTCTTCTTAAAGACCCCCAGGGTAGGGGCCAGCACCACTTCCCTTGGAAGTTGGTTCCAGCTCCTAGCCGCCCTAACTGTGAAGTAGTTTTTGCGGATGTCCAATCTATACCTCCTCTCCATCAACTTGTGCCCATTACTCCTTGTTATGCCAGCGGGCGCTAGGGGAAACAGCGTCTCCCCCAAACCCTTCTGGTCCCCCCTAGTGAGTCTATAGACGGTCACCAGGTCCCCCCTCAGCCTTCTCTTGTGGAGGCTGAATAGGTTCAGGTCCCGCAGTCTCTCACTGTAGGGTCTGCCCTGTTGTCCCCGGATCATGCGGGTGGCCCTCCTCTGGACCCTCTCCATGTTGTCCACATCCCTCTTGAAATGGGGCGCACAGAACTGGACACAATACTCCAGCTGTGGCCTGACCAGCGTCGCGTAGAGGGGGAGGATCACCTCCTTGGCTCTACTCGAGATGCACCTGTGGATGCACGACAAGGTCCGGTTAGCCCTGCCAACCATGACCTCGCATTGTCGGCCCATGTTCATCTTGGAGTCAATAATGACTCCAAGATCTCTTTCTGCCTCCGTGCTCTCGAGTAGGGAGTTCCCCATTGTGTAAGTGTGCTGCTGGTTCCTACTGCCCAAGTGCAGCACCCTGCACTTGTCCGTATTAAAACGCATCCTGTTCCTGTTAGCCCACCCCTGTAACCTATCCAGATCCCTCTGCAATCTCTCCCTCCCTGCTAGCGTGCTCACCTCCCCCCAGATTTTGGTGTCATCAGCGAATTTAAACAGGTTACTTTCCACCCCATCATCCAGATCGCTGATGAAGAAATTGAACAGCGCAGGCCCCAGGACCGAGCCCTGGGGGACTCCGCTACCCACCTCCCCCCAGGTCGAATATGAATTCTGTCCAAAACCAGTTTTATTTTCCAGAGTTTTCGCCCCCCCCGATTAGAAGCAGAATTCTAATTAATTTTCTATCTGAGAAAGGCAACAAAATGCTTGGTAGGAAGGAGTGAGTCAAAAGTAATGGGGATTGAGAATGTGGGATTCAATTAATTTGGAGAAATAGTGGTGTATGGGCTCATAGCTCTCTTCAGTCCACATTCAACCATTGCTCTGGGAGAGAAGGAGAGAGCATTTGAATTTAAAAGACTTCAGGGAAGAACTTATTGCAGAAAAGATTTGGGTCGATTTACAGAGAATGACATGCAGCGAGGCAGCGATAGCTTCTCATCAATAATGGCTGAAATCAGATGCACTTGCAGAAAAAGAGTGCCTGAGGTTCTGTTCCTGGAACATGGTAAGGGGAAGAAAAAGAAACTCCCCAGGCAGTTTTCTTGCTCAAGGTCCACACACTACAGCCTCGTCCTTGCCACAGAAGTTTTCTTGTTGGATCAGGGTATGAAACATGCATTGACACCACAACTTCGCAGCCTGGAAAGTACAAAAGTGGATTTTGATGGCCCTGCTCTGCCACTCAGGCTGGAACCGACTGCTGCCCTGTGCAGTCACCACTGCCCCAAGCTGCCCCCATGCAAGAACAGGGCGGTGAGGCAGGCCACAGGAAAAAGGCCACTTATATCTTCCACCTCACCCAACTTCTGAGAGCTCCGTGTCGTCTGGCGTTGCCTCTACCCAGTGGCAGGAAAACACAGTTTGCTTTCCACGGATTTCCTATGTGAATGTGACTGACCAGCCAATGCATTGCCTATTTTTAGCCCAACAAAACAGCCAGGGAGGAGCTAACATCTGACCCCCACTTCAGAGGCAAAAGGTACCACTATGCCATGAAATGTTTGAGCCGTGCCATTAGCTGGAGGCTCAGAGCAAATCAGAGACCAGGCAGGAGCCGCAGGTCTCCTGCAGCACTAAGCAATGCGAGTATGATGTGACAGCAGCAACACTCAGGGAAAGGAAGTTTAAATTTCCTGAAGAGACAAATGCAGGTACCAAGATGCCAGTTGTTGTGAAAAGGAGTCATGCATAAGTTGGTCATGCGTCACCTGCAACTTCAGTCCCCCAGCAGCCTTTGAAACCACCACTGGAGACAGGTGGCAACCACCGTGTTACAACCTGTACTCTCTCCCAGTTCTGCTGTGCTGCGATCACAGCAAAGGCCTGATTCTAGAAGAAGAGACATTCTGGCCACTTTTTACATTTGCTGTTTGCAGTGGTTTACTGCCCTCTCCCCAGATGACTATGTACAGTACATGTCAAGTTCTGCGTCTGGCTTTCCAGCAGAAGACAGAGTCCTGGAACTGCTGGGTCACTGTCGGGCCCAGTGCCCAGTGCCAGATACACACTGGCAGCTCCATAATCCCTCTGGCATGTTGTTCCTGGGAGGAGAGGGTGGCCTGGGGGGAGTAACTTGGCCGTGGGAGCACTGCCTGCGTGTTCCCGTGGTCTGGGCCTCAAGCAAGGAGCTATTGGCTCAGATTCTCTTTGCTCAAAGTCCCAATCTGTGCAGCGCTCGGCGAGGGCTCATCAGCTAACTGTGCTTGCAGCAGGTGTGCTACTTGGACTGTACATACATCACAGTAATTGCTTCATTTCTGCAAAGACATTTAGGGCAGCTTTGTTGGAGCAGGAGGCCCTGACAAGGCCACAGAGCCAGGCTGCTCAGCCTGCAGCTGTTGTGCGCTAGTGGGAGTAGTTCTGTGCTTCCTTGCCTGGGTTGTCACTGGTGAGCTGCTGAAGGCTGCCATGTGCCTGAGCCTGCAGCATGTCCAGGGCTGCCCCAAGCCTCTGTGTGGCGAGGGCCACCCACCAAGCAGCCCGGAGCGCTCTGCCGTGGAGCTGCAGCAGCTCGAGCTGCTGCATGTGTATTTAGGTGAACAAGGCTATTTGTGATGAGTGACAAACTGCTGCTCCTGCACCCTTCAGTGACCAGAAACATCAAAAACTGTCTGCTTTTGACACCTGGCTACAGCTTTGATACACAGAGGGCAACAGCACTACACAGGACTCATCATCGTTTGCTTCTACGTACCTGAGATTGACTTGTCTTTAAGGAAGCATCATTAGACACTTTCTACCCTCCGTCAAACACTGGACTATGCTTACAGCCAGGCCTGCAGAGTCTCTGGGCAAGCGCTTCCAGACAGGCAAATGTTAAAAATGCCTGGCATTTAAAAATAATAATGGCAGTAAGAAACCTTCATGACCCTTATTTCCCACAGCAGACTCTGACTTTGTGCTTGCAGCTTTGCTTGCACGGTATTATTTTTTTTTGGCAGAAAAGAAAATCTGTTTTGTCCATGGTTTCCAATTTGCTCCTCAGACTTCCTCCCCTGTTCAGACCTGATGAAGAGCTCCATGGATCTTTCATTTTGCGCATGATGTAGTCTTTACTCCACGATGGTCTCTAGTACGTTTCCTCTTGAACAAAAGCAGTTTTCACAGATAGATTCTTTCCAAGAGGCTTGTGCCAGATCCCTAAAAACAATGGGATCAACCTTGCCCTTCCACAGCACGCTTGGAGAACAAGAGGGATGTGTTGCCTTACTCTGCCAGCAGCCCCTTTATTTCCCTTTAATGGCATTATTTTAGGGACGCATTATTGTTATGGGAGGGCTATGTTATGGTTTGCTGATTAAGGGATGTTTGGGGGAGTTTCTCCCTGGGGACCATCTATAGAAAGCCTGGATGCAAGAACATGTAAAGCACATGTAAGGTACATCTGGCCTCCGAGAGGGATTTCCAAGGTCCAAACAGAGAAGGTGGGACAGGGATGTGTTAATCCCTTGCTGTGTGCAAGCAGAAGGCTGCGTGGGCTCTAGAGAAGAGCAGGTAGGGTGGGGAGGGAAGAAAAGACTGTTACTTCTCAGGAGAGGCGATGGGTTTTGGGTTGCCTTGTCTGGCCTTACACTAAAGGAATCTCTTTGGGCAGTTTGGTTTCCTGGCACTGCAGCAGAAGCAGCAGTGACCGGTACCTGTCTGAAAACAAACAATGGCATTAAACGTTTCATCTTTACATTATTCCTGACTTCTCATTGATGCAGAAATTGCCCTGCAACCCCACACTGTTGACTGCTGCCCACCCAAAGGGGAAGCGCTGTTATCTTTCCTTCTGTGTGTTTGATGGACAGACTTTGGGATTTTGATTTTTGGCCACGGCTAGTATTGTTCTCTTTCTCTGGGGTGGACAGTGACTGGCACTCCATGGGTAGTACTGTGACAGAACTAATAATTCATATTAATACTGCTCAGTGGGCCCATGCCAAGGGTGAGCTGTTTCTTTAAGAGAACCAGAGCTTTCCTGTGTGTATGTACACATATCCCAGATTTTCCTCTCTTCTCTGTGCTGCTTCAGATTGCAGCCAGCTTGTCTTTGGTTATTTCAGCATGGGGGAGCTCTGAGGGACCCGCAGGGAACAGCACCAGCCATCTGTTTGTACTAAACTATTCTGTCAAAGGCAGAGAGATTTCAGGTTTCTAGTCAAGCAAGGGTGTAACTTGATGTCTCTGCAGGAGCCAGGACTGTCCTCACTAAACCCATTTTACTTAGAAAACTGAGCTTCTGCTCGGCACCATAGTTTGAGATGTAATGGGACACTATCAGTTGAATTTGGCCCCTGGCTGGGGTTTTCTGAAATTAAGCTGTTATCAAGTCTGATGCTCATTTCCATTTGTATATTTGTTTAATTGAAGTGGAAATACAAGGTTTGATGCTGTCACATCATTTGCTCTGTGTGTGGGCCCTGACAGCCTGGGACAGGGACCAGCCACACCTGTGGGCGTGGTACCACAGGCCCCAGTGCCCTGTTGGTCTTAGGCTGAACAATGAGCCCAATGATAAACAGTCATTAAAAGTGGTGGGGAAACCTTCTTATGCACCTTCACACTTAAAGATAATTGAGAAGCTGGAAGTAATAGCTAGTAGCAGCAGGGCTCTCCTTTCTTTGGTTGATGCGGTTGCTTATGGTATGATCAAGAAGGAAAACACACAGTTTCCATGTTTTCTTGCTGCACAACTTCAAACTAATTTAGGAAATTAGTGCCCCAGGATGCGACTCACATCCCCTACCCCCACTCCAACACAACTGAGGCTTCTTGTAGTAAGCAACACCCCTCCCACTGCTCACATGCCTCGGGGCTCTGCTTGTTCAGGCAGTACGGTTTCTTTACTGCAAGGAAAGTCAGTGCCCCTCCAGGGAAGAGGCAACCTTGGTGCACAGTTAATGACCTAAGTAGGGCATAGGTGACAAGTGTGGCCCGGCCGGAGCCAGAGCCTGCTGGCAGCAGTGGGGGCGGTGGAGGTGGTGCAGAATTGTGCCCCCCCCCCCCCCCTGGGGAC